GCACTCAAAAGGTGCACGTGTGGCTATATGTACCCTTACTGTAATTGAAAAACATAACTATCTAATAAAACGTTCCCGGCCAAAGAGGTCACCTTTATACCGAAAAATAAAAATAAAAATAATAATAATAATACTTTTAAATATTTACAAAATAATTAAATATATATTTCATCATTAGGATCTTCTAAATTAGAAATTCCTTCTAAATTAGAAGTTCCTTCTAAATTAGAAGTTCCTTCTCTATTAGAAGATTCTCCTCTATTAGAAGGTTCTCCTCTATTAGAAGGTTCTCCTCTATTAGAAGGTTCTTCTCTATTAGAAGATTCTATATCTAAAATTTCACTATATACAATATTTTTTGTATAGACATCATCACTATCCTTAATAGTCATATTTTTAACCAAAATTTTGATATGATTTTTAGATTGGACTCTGGACAAAGCAATATATAATTGTCCATGTACAAAAATATGTAAAAGAAGATATAATCTGGCATTGGGTAATGTTTGGCCTTGAGCTTTATTAATGATTATTGCAAAAGCCAAATGAATTGGAAACTGATAATGGGCTAATGTAAACGGTAAAGTTGGATCTGATAGTGTTAGTCAAATTTAAGGAATATAAACTCTTTCACCAATATGAGTTCTGGTAATAATTTCAGCATCAAGAACATGCTGATTAACATATCTAATAACTAATCTGGTACCATTACAAAGTCTATCAATAGGACTTATATTTCTTAAAAGAATGATAGGGGCTCCAATTTTTAGTACCAGTTTATGAGGAGGAGTTCTACTTGGAGTAAGTGTATTTAAAAATTCAACAGAAAAATAATTTTAAATTTTCTGATCTTGATTATTAACTGAATCTGCAGATAAAAATGTGGTACCTACACCTGGTAGAATATTAAGAATTTTTTCATTAATATCATCTACATTATCATTTTTGGTGTAAGAATTGCTCTATTACTAATATAGGCTGAATAATCTTTTTTAGGAATAGTATTAATATCTTTAAATAGTTTAGATATTAATGATTCAACCTTATTATCATGTAATACCATAGCATTATCTAATTTAACAATATCATCACTAATTTCATTATAAGTATGTTTGGTACTATTACCAATTCTTAATAAATATTCTGCAAAATTAATTGCCTTCTCATCATCTTCTTTAATTCTCATATTTTTTGTCAATGCTAATTTATCAATTTTATTCCATAAATAAGATTTTTTAAGAGAAGCATTGATAATTTGAGTATGATTTTCTCGAACTACTACAGGTAAAATTTGTCTAAAATCACCACCAAATAAAATTACTTTGCTTCCAAATAATTCTTTTTTGTTATTTGTAATGTCCTGAATAGCTTTGTTAAGTTTTTCAAAAGCTATTTTGTTTGTCA